TCCACCATCTCCAGAAGTCGCCTCACTCCATTGGGTGACCTTGGGAGTCGGTCAAGGGGTCGTTGGGCACCCCGTTGTGCTGAAAAAACATCCTGAAATGGTGCTGGAAAAAACCAATCTGGTTGGTGGTTTTTCGCCACCCCTCTGAAAAATATGATATAAATATGATATAGTCAGTTGGGGTTATGACATTCCCAAGATATGGAAAAATAAAATTCATGTTCCGAACCGCCAACCAGCCAGTGTATTGCTGTACAACCCCTGATACGATTCCCCCCGATGAAAAGATCCAGGGGTTCGTCTGCGCGGTATTTCTTTAAGAGAAGTGATTCTTAAACATCAAAAAAACGGCGAAACTTGACTAATCGAAGTCTATGTATTTCTCTGCCATACCGACCATGCGCAAGGGAAAAAAAACCAACCATTTACCGCCAGAGGCCCATCTTCGTAGAGGCAGCTGATGGCTATTGAAACATATTGAAACAACAGATATCAGGGCATAGACATATCATGTATATCATAGCTTCGACTTAGCCCAACATATAGGACACGCAGCTCATATATTATGCTTCATCACACTGGGCTTGTCCTTTCGGTCGACCTGAGATGGTTCTCCCTCAAGACTCAGCTATTTGGAATCCCCATGTTCAGACCAGAAAAATATTGATTTATAGTCTATAGTTGCCAAGCAAAATGCCGATTTATGTTCATGAGTATAAATATATATTGCCATGACATATCCGCGCTATATCCCCATTACTGGATATCCCCACACGTATCCGGCCGCAGCTGACTGTCCAAGGCGCCAGTGGGGCACTAAACGCAAGATCAGAGGCCCCTTGGTGGTCTCGAATCGGACCTGGATCAGTGGATTCGGACAGGTGGAGCTCGGACAGGGTTTCCATGGTTTTCCCAGAAGCTCCACAGTTGCCTTCGAAACCAGTGATTTTTATGGTGTTTTTGATGGGCTTATCATTCCATAAACGGGGTGACTTACTGACGTATAGCTGGTATAACTGGTATTTCGGGCCATAACAGCATGGGCCATGTTTCGGATAAATGCTGTTAGAATCTGTTAAATATTGTTAAACCACCAGCATGTGGGTATGGGTTTCATGATGCACAACTTTGATTCACCATCCCGATTCCATAAAATGAATGATGGAACAACAAAGTTGAAACCACCCAGCAGCTATCACTATAGCTATTATATATATAATATATCTATATATATATGGTTGTTGATAAAAAATCCTTTATCCCGGAACGGCCATTCTTCGCGAATAAAAATTTTACTTTCGCGAAACTTTAGCGAACTCCATGTTTATCTTTCGCGGGGCCCATGTTGGCCAACAACACCTCTTATGAAGATTCGTTCACCACCTGCCAAATTACGCCAGAGAATCACGGATCACTTCTTGGTAGCCTTTTAAACATGCAGCTAGCATCACGGAACCCCTTCTCAGGACAGATTTTTTTTTGCAAAGTTTACTGGCCCACCCCCTTCAACATGCACTTTGACTTTCGCCCGCTCTTTCGCATAACTTTCGCGGAAATTTCGCGAAAATCCCTATTCACAGACCCCGGCCATCAGCAGGGGGTGCACTGAAGGAAAAGCGAAGACCAGGGGCCTTGGTGTTTGGCTCTCGCAAAGCCTCACTTTTGGAAACTTGGCTACTGCTACTCGCATTCTCTGGTGCCCTTCTCCTGCTGGACCCCGGGCGGCAGCGGGTGGTAGCCCTTTACATATAATGATAATAATACCCAACTTTCGCGAAACTTTCGCGAAATAAAATTTTACTTTCGCGAACTCGAAAAAAAAACTTTCGCGAGGGTTTCCAACATAACATGCACGGCTTTCGCAATTAAAACTCCTTACAAGGACCTTTAGATCGATCACCATATATATATATATATACACGTATTTATATACTATTGCAAGCAACCAAAAAATAGATAATAGACAAGTGACTTTTCAGGATGGTATAGATATGTATGAATCAATGAATGATATAATCCTCACAGAAGGATTGGCAATAGATTTGGGGTGAAATGCAAATGATTTGGGATGGGAAATGCCCCTATAAATATTTCCAGGAAATCATAATCCCATCTAACATCATTTAACTATTCCCTAAGTTCTCCCGGGGGCCATCCAGCCCCCAGCCCTCATCCAGCTAATCCTTTTGCTGTGGCAATGATCCAAAATAAATCTACTTTTTTACTTGACGCTTGATTCGGGGGGGGTGATCTACAAGTTTCGTCCGAAACTCACCTAAATCAGGTCATTTTGGAGTTCTATCTACAAGACCCAAATCAAGTAGCAAGTAAAATAGTTGATTTAAATGCTCTACTTTGTAGATGTCAACATTGGAATTTTGAAGTCCCAGATCTGAGCTTTTCAATTGAAATTTGTAGAGATTCCGGGGAAAAGGGATGTGTTGTAGATGTCTACTGCTGAAAATCACAGGCTGAGATCTACGACATGCTCAGCAAACCCTAGGATTTAGGAAAGTTTCAATTGAAACTTGCAGAAGTCAACATCCATTTTTTGGACATGGAGATCTACAAGATCACCTTTTCTGCTTGCATTAGATTTGGGATCAAGACTTCAGGGGTCCTTGCCAAGCAATAGTACGCCACCAAGAAGTCAACATACACCATATCAAAGGAATATTTAGGCCCCCAACTCAATGGGCATCACACATACTTACAAATATGTAGAATAGTAATAGTAGATCGTCAGATAAGTTTAACACTTAGGTCCCCAAGAAGTCAATGTATACTATACAAGTTTAGGTCCCCAACTCAATGGACATTACAAATATATACAATAATGCTAGCCAAAATTGGGACCCCAAATCAAATGCTTTTGGCCCAAGATCAAGTGCTATTCCTTACAGGTTTTTAGGTTTTCAACTTTTCGGGTCATCTTTGTGCGGCTTAGCAAAGACCATTGTGCATCTCCGTTGTCAAAATCATGTACAATGTGAGGCCCACAAGATAGCGTTCAGTTGGTGAACATAACTCCAATAACTATGGTTATGGTACGCAAATAACTATAGTTGCTGGGGCTTAAAAACCAACTTATAACTGGGGGGCCTCACATTGTATGTATGCTAAATCAAAAAAAAAACATCCTTCTATCTGCTGTATATTATATATATAATATATATATATTATTTATCTACTGGCAGGTTGAGCTACGTCCCATGTCCAGCCTCAAGATCAAAAAGGTGACCCATCCCAGGTGACTGCTGTGTCACCAGCTGAGCGGCCTTGATGACATCAGGGCCATGCAGGTCTTGATCGACCATCTGGGCCACGGTGTGGGTCAGTGGGACTGCAAAACTCTACGGAGTAGGTCAGGTTAAAGGGAAACTCTACCGGAAAACATGCTATTCCCCATCAAATACAGGGGTTTTCTATAATAGTTCCCTTAAACAAATCCAATGAGTAGGTTCTAGGGTTCCCTCACCAGTCTCAAAGAAAACCGTGTTGGTACATTGCTAGATACAAATGGATACAGTAAAAAACCTCATGTTACTCATGTTGGGACTTACTCATATGATATAAGTCAACCTTGGTGGTCCTGCTTGGCACACTTAGTGCTGGTCAAAACAGCAGAACTCCACAGCAATCAAAACAATTTCAATATCAGGTTTCAGCTCAAAATGATCAATCCATTTTTGTTGTGTCCATAGCATGGTATAAAACCTCTAATTACAAACGGCCAATTCGTTTGTGCATACCATGAAGGTGCGGGACCTGTTCCTTTGTCGCAATGTGACATGATATATGTACATGCGCATATACACATAAAGATTTAATACAATCACGCTATACTATCTACTATCCAACTATTTACAAATCAAAATCTATCAATATCAATATCTATTCATATCTATTTTTATGCGGACACATACTGACTACAAACATCTATTGAAATGCACAGAACCGCACAGATTGCTTCACCTCCGGCGTCTTTACCGTAGCTCCTCGCGAAAAATGGTGATATCCTGGGAATATCGTGGTTGTAATGAGATCTATGATGGGGATATCATGTATACTATATATATATATAACTGGTATAATTACTGGTTATAACTTGTTGCTGGTTTCAGGTCTAGACAAACAGTCAATGGGGATCGTCAAATCCCTCGGAATGACTTCCTGAAATAACAAGAATATACTGTCAGGTGATCAAATGTCCTATGGTGTTCAAGTCAAATACAAAACACATGGTCTACAGTTAATCTGCTTTTTCTTGGGTCTATTCAATATTAAAAAAATAGATCCATACAAGGTGGTATACCCCGTCATAAGTTGGTTCAGAACCTCTAGAGACTACTAGAAACTTCGGATACCTCTTCCACCATATTTTCAAGGTATTCGAGTTAAAAAACAACTCACATAGCTAACTATGGGGCACCGTCTTGTACCCCTACCCCAATATTGCGTCGCCCTGATTAGTGAATCTGGCGCCAAAACTCTTGTCGTAAGAACGGTGTCTTAATTATCAACAAATTCATGATGTTCATCCTAATACAAATAAAAACAGTACAGTAGCTGGATTCTAGCGTTCTTTGTCCAAACTTCAGAATATCATGAGTACAGTCTTGTAGCTTCGTACCACCACCCAAAACGTAGCATGCTGTGTCCAACTCATTGAAAAAGCATTGCCCTGCGGGTCCTGGTCTCAGAACATGCTTAAAGCTCCAATTTCCATCCTTCTTTTCCAGAAAGATCTGATCCTTGGACCGCCATGCCAAATCCAGGGCATCAGCGTGGGGTCAGCAAGTCATGAACAACCCATCGATGTTGAAGATCATTGAAATGGGGTATGACTCTATGACTCCCGCAGAAACTAATCCCATACCCTCCCAGTGAGGGACCCCAAACTACGAAACCAGGAATTCTGGGGTCTGGGGTAGTTCACATTCGTGGGATTAGTATGAAGTCAACTTATCCCGCATGGCAGATCCATGGCAACCCACAGCTCTTTTCGCAGCACGCTGGCCGCTAAGATCTCTCTCATCGAGCCTCTTCTATTCCTGAGTGGAACAGAGGCTGATGCTGTAGTGAGATCATCAGCACTGCCATCACCATCATCATCACCATCACTAGCATCACCATTCCTTCTATGTTGTTTGAAGCTCAGACTTTCACGCTATCCATTTCTCAAAACTTCAGTGATGTTGTTTCCACCACTAACAGCACCTGCTAAATTCATCACCCCAACCCCTGATACCACCACCAGAAAAATGATCTCATCTGGATAAATCATAGTAATAATTTACCGACCTGGATTGATGCCAACAAATCCTGTGGTCTCCGGCCCAACCCCAGCAGTACAGAGGGACCAGTGACCTGTGCCAGTGATGTATCAGTGAGGTCATAGATGGTTAATGGATGTCTACTCCCCAGTCTTATATGGAACAATATGTAACAATAGGTTTTGGCCCATGCCCATATATATATATATACACATGGAGGTTTCCTAAAATGGGGAAATCATCCTAAATTAGACCGTTTTAGTATTGAAACCCATGGTGGCTTGGGATCCCCCATTTGAGGTCATTTGAGGAAACCTCCATAGACGTACTGCCGAAGTTTCTTTTCTGAAGCGCCAGCATGGGATTTTCCGATGCCTCAAGAGGTCCTCGCATCAGCACATTCATCAAGACCTCGCCTGCGGTCCCAGGTCTTGGAAGCTTGTAGCTATCTGTACCGATGATTAGAGGGCAATTAAATATATAGGTACTGTAATGGATTGTAGGTATTGTAGGGTATCCTAAATCTTCCATACGTTGTAGCTATCTGTTCCGATGAACAACATTGAGTGTTCGCCAAAAACGTTTGGAACCATGATCCGGTTCAAGGGCTTAGATGGTCGACGTATTTCCAGATGCATTTGAAATGCTGTGAGCTGCTATGGGAATGGCAATTCAAATGGAGCACAGCTAGAAACTGATATTGTTGGCCCCTTCTGCCCTATAGACAGTGGAAATACACGAGTTAATTATTTTCACTTGGCTTTCCTATAGAGCTGGGAAACGTCCCATTGCCAATTGGCTTGCCAAAGGAGACACAGGATTATCCATTTGCGTGTTCCATCACCGATGATGAATGTTCCATCGCTATGATGAGTATGATTGCTGCTTCAAGTTGCACTTATATACACTCATGAGTCTTATCAGCGAAGTGCATCCACGACATCACCTTCCAAAAGCCATGTGATGATAGGGTGCCCACAACATCCTTGCGACCAAAAAAAATAGGATCGCCAGGTGTTGAACATGCCAATGGGAATCACTATCAAATGGTATGATCTAACGTTACCCTATAGGTAATTTAAGATACATACGAGTAGCTATGGGAAATCACTATGTTTAATAGGATTTAAAAGGCAAATCATCAAGCTAAACGGGCCATTTTCCATAGCAAACTCTTAAATTACCAGAGGGTAACACATAAGATATCTGAAATCGTCCCCCGCAACATGTAACGACAGGTCCTAATCCTCACCATCAGGGGGAATGGATTCCAGGTGTCTGCGGATCATACGTTTGGGAACCCGAAAAAGATGCAGAAAAACACATCATATCTAACTACATCATCTACCACTGGTCTTAGAAGGTTTCACTAGGATTTGTTTTCCATCAATGCTGAGTGTTCAAAGGATTTGTATTTACGAGAATGTTAATTAAAAACACTGCATGCCTTATATATTTGTTAGTTGCACATTTTCTACATTAATTAGCATTTTTTTCTATTTGTCTTGTGGTGATACTATATACATATATATATATACATTATGATACGTCGCCAACCTGAGATAAGGCCATTTTTGGTGATGTCACAGCACGTAACACAATTCATTCATGATTCATGTACAGGTAATATATTCTGGTGATACATCCCCGTTGTATGTAAATATATATAAGAATGTTTCCACAAATAAGGGGACCCCTGAATCATCCATATCAATTGTTTTTTTCCTATCATAAACCATCCATTTTTGGGATCCCCCATGTATGGAAACCCACATAATATCCATGATATCCCATGATATCCATCGCACCTGGCAATGCCTTTAAGGTCTCCAGGGCCTGGTGTGGAGTCAAGGGGAGCCAATAGCTGTTGACGATATTTTGGGAATCTATACTGGATGAGAGTAAAGCAAACCCACACTATGTATACATATATATATAATATTATATGCTATATACCGTGCATATATAGGTATATATATGTATGTATATGCGTCTGTAATTAATTATATAATAAAATACAATAGAATATAATGTAATATAATATAATATAATATAATATAATATTTAAATATATATATATAGTGATGTGAAACCTCAATCTACACATATCCAACATAGTTGTCAATTGTTTTTTCTCTATTGTTGACTAATAATTTAATTGCATATATACAGTGTATATTTATATATACAAGTAAATATAGCGCCTGGATTTGCCGCGTATATCACATACACCGCCCCATTCTTAAGGGACCTGCCAAATCAGTGACTAATACTTATTCAATAGATCCAAAATATATGGCCAGTATCTTCCACATACATCAAAAACACCGACCCATTTTCAGGGACCCAGAAAGGTTGTTTCATAGCCCCAATAGATCCAAACCAGTGGTTGTTTTGGGCGCATTTGATCTTTGGGAATGCGATTAGAAATTATCAGCTTGGAACTTTTGGAACACCATTTTTGTTGTTTCATATCCAATATGTCGTTGCAAGATACAAGTTTCAATGTCAGTAGAATGTCAAATGGATTCAAATGGTATTTATCAATGTTTCTTGTCTCAGTCCCTGTTTTTTTAAACATATATGTTCATGGATTTTTTCTTACCGTGTTTTTCAACTCACATTTGCGCCAATCACCCTCCCTTTCTCCATTCTCCACGGCCCTCACTGTACCGTCCAAAAACAATACATATCACCATGGCTCAAAGTCGTCAACATGTTTTTCTGTCACCCATTATCTGTCATAATAAACAAGTTTCGCACATAGCCCTGGGTCAAAACCTTTCTCTTCACCTCTGCTTATAAGTCCCAAGTCTTGCTTCATGCTCATATGGATGTTTCCCATAGGGGTACCCCCAGTTCTCATCCACCGAATCCACCATCCCCTGATCTCAATGCCTCCTCCGGCAGCTGATTCTGGAGGTAGAACGCCCGCACCAACATCGAGTCCGGCACCTCTGCATGGCCATTCGCCTATGCGGGGCTGAGTTACTGCATCCAGGTGAAAAAAATGGTAAAGATCTGGGGATTTCCTAAAATGGGGGTACCCCCAAATCATCAACTTTATTTTTGGATTTCCCTTAATAAACCCTCCATTTATGGGAAATGAATAATTACATGAAAAATAGGGGTCTTGGGGCTGGATTTGCTTCTGATGTTGTGATTGAGATGAAATTGATAAGAAAAACATTGATGATCAACGGAATGAACCACATGCCGCGTCAATGGTACATGGTGGGTCTAAAATCATTTTTTTCGAACATAATTAAGTATATAGAGTCGGAGTCTGTAACCCAAACATCAACCACTCAATCTTAGAAAACATCACAAATCCCAATGATAAATGGTTGATGTATTTTAATGTCATGTTCTGGGAAAAACAAAAAACAATTATCC